AATTCTTTTATGGGCCAAGTGTGATTGGACACACAAGGAATTCGTCTTTGGTGCAAATGCTCTCAGTGTATATAAAAGAAAAGATTCATTCGTCAAGAATCATCAGGTACAATACTTCATAATAGTCATAAGGTACAATAAGAATAAAATAGAAATAGAAACAGAAACAGAATAGAATTCTTTATTGGCCAAGTGAGATTGGACACACAAGGAATTTGTCTTGGTGCAAATGCTCTCAGTGTACATAAAAGAAAAGATACATTTTTCAAGAGTCAAGATTCATCAGGTACAAGACTTAATGATAGTCATAGGGTACAATAAGAATAGAATAGAAATAGAATAGAATAGAATAAAATTCTTTATTGGCCAAGTGTGATTGGACACACAAGGAATTTGTCTTGGTGCAAATGCTCTCAGTGTATATAAAAGAAAAGATACATTCGTCAAGAATCATCAAGTCCAACACTTAATAAGTTATAGGATACAATAAGCAATCAAATCATACTAGGAAACAATTAATATAAATCGTAAGGATACAAGCGACAAAAGTTACAGTCATAGAGTCACAAGTGGGAGGGGGTGGGTGAAAGGAAGAGTGGGAGGCATAACCAAGAACTAAAAAGGGGATAAATAATAGAAAGTACCAATTAATATGAATTTATGAATGGCTATTTGAATTACATAATTTGTTAAATACTGCAAATATGACTACTAATAGAGAATTTATAATAAAAGAAGTGATGTGAAGAAAATAGAGACTGACACAAAATAGCACATGAGAATATTGAATAATTCAGATCGATAATATGTATTAATATCAAACGATGTAAGAAAGTTAGCAAGATCAATGTGAAACTATTGCCATGTTTGTTTTTAAAACGTAAAACCACCTGGAACCACACTGTTCCCACAATGATGAATATATAGAAACAGAAAAATAAAAAATGTATTTTAAAAAAAACAATTCCTTAAAATCAGGAGAGATTCAACATTTCGGAGAATACCAGTACTCTTCAACTTACGACCACTATTAGAACTGGATAATTGGTCATTGAGGGGTGCAATTGGGAAGCGAGGCATGGCATAATTTAACGTGGTTTCCCCCCCTCCCTAGCATAGCTGGCTGGAGAATTCTGGGAGTTGAAGCCCACAAGTCTTAAAGTGGCCAAGTTTAGGGACCCTTGGTGTAGGGTGTCCCGCTTGGGCGGGGGGTTGGACTAGATGACCTACAAGGTCCCAACTCGGATTATCTGTTAATCTGATCAGCTGAAATCCACGTGCCCCCTGCCAAAACCTGGCTAAGTGGCTCCCTCCTCCATGGCCACTCAGGGATCCCCGTGGGCCCATTTCTGGAGCGGAAACATCCCGTCAGTTTCTCGCTCCGGGCCTTGGGGGGAAGAACTGTGTGGCCATTCATTTTTAATGGAAGGACAAACATCTCGGAAGATGTGACTCATGGAAAACAGCCGGCCCCTGTGTTCCCCTGGCACCCAACGGCTTCTTCGCCCTGGCAGGGGCTCCCAAGACCTCCTCCAAGCATTTGGAGGAGGGTCCCATTGGGGCTTTAGAGACACGAGCAGCAGCGAGCCCGGGACGGTTGGGCTACCTTGGCCAAACGCTTCATTTAGCAGCATCCAACAAACGGCAAAGAGTTCAGCCTCTCTGCAGAGATCTGTATCAATATCTATCCATATATGACAATAAAGTAACCTAATCTAAACTACACTTAAACTGAACTTAAACTAAACTAAACCTAAACTAACCTAAACCTAACCTAATCTAAACTAAACTTAAACTAACCTAACCTAAACCTAACCTAATCCAAACTAAACTTAAACTTAAACTAAACTAAACCTAAACTAACCTAAACCTAACGTAATCTAATCTAAACTTAAACTAAACTTAAACTAAACTAAACTTAAACTAAACTTAAACTAAACTTAAACTAACCTAACCTAAACCTAAACTAACCTAAACCTAACGTAATCTAATCTAAACTTAAACTAAACTTAAACTAAACTTAAACTAAACTTAAACTAAACCTAAACTAACCTAAACCTAACCTAATCTAAACTAAACTAAACTTAAACTAAACCTAAACTAACCTAAACCTAACCTCATTTAAACTTTAATTAAACCTAACCTAAACCAAACCTAAACCAAACCTAAACTAACCTAAACTTAAACCAAACTTAAACCTAAACTTAAACTAACCCTAAACCTAACCCTAACCCTAAACCAAACTAAACCAGCCATTTCTTTTTTTTCTTTCTGACTGCTCCCAGCCCTCGCCAAGCCCTGCCTGCCTGCCTGGCCAGCGAGATCCACAGGCTCTACTGCAAACATGAAACTCCCACCAGGATGCACGAGGACAAGGTTAAAGTAGAACAGCCAAACAGATCCGGGAGAAGAGCAGGGTGACATTGAAAAAAAGGGATCCTTATCTCCTGGCGATCCTGTTTTGTCCTCTCCTCCGACGCTGACCCGAAGAAGGAGGGTTCATGCAAGGACTTCCAAACGCTTTCCAAGAAAACCCAGCACCTTTTGGACCTGGAGGAAGAGGCTGCAGACTGCCTCGGCCCAGCGGGGCAGCCTCCAAAACCAGCAAGGAGGGCTGGGGTTGTGTCTGTGTGTCTGGGGGTGCATTACATAGTAGTCCTCGAGTTACGGCCACAGCTGAGCCCGGGATCTACGTTGCCAAGTTGTTAAGTGAGTTTCGCCCCATTTCTTGCTGCCGTTGTTAAGGGAAACCCCTCCAAGTTGCGAAATTTGTTATCCCGGTGGGTTCAGCAAATCCGGCATCTCCCCCGTTCGCTTCGCTCATTGGAAAGTTGCAAAAAGGGAATCCCGTGACCTTGGGACACTCCAACCGTCGTAAATGCGAGTCGGGGGGGGGGCAAGCGTCTGAATTTGGATCGTGTGATCGTGGTAGCGGTGGGAGGGAAGCCGCAAACGGTCATTCAGGGTAGAAAAAAAGAGTCGTAAGTTGTTGTTTTTTTCAGTGCTGGTGTCCCTTCCAACGGTCACTAAACGAACTGTTGTAAGTTGAGGACTTCCTGCACTTAACCCAACCCTCTGCCCTACCATGGCCACAAGGCCAACCTGGAAGCCAAGCCTGCAATTTGGGCAAGGCTCCTTCCGTGCTTCTGCTTCTTCCCCATTGCGGGGAAAGTCCTCGACTTACAAACAGCTCCCTTTAGTGACTTGTTCAAAGTTACAACAGCATTACCAACAGTGACTTACGGCCATTTTCTCACACTTACGACTGTGGCAGCCTCCCATGTGGCCAAAATTTGGACGCCTGCCCCCCCCCCCGACTCGTATTTACAACAGTTGCCGAGATCACAAGATTCCCCGTTTTTGCAACTGTCCGACGAGCGAAGCGAATGAGGCGGGGATGATGGATTGGCTGAACCCACTGTGTTTCCTCATGGAGCAACTGCTTTGATTTACTTAACGACCGTGGTGAGAAAGTTCGATCAACTGGAGCAAAACTGACTTAAGGAATGTTTTGCTTAAACTGCAAGCATGCAAAAATAACAGATCATCAAGAGTTGGAAGGGACCTTATAGGTCATCTAGTCCAACCCCCGGCCCAAGTGGGAGAGCCTACACCATTTTTGACAAATGGCAGTCCAGTCTCTTCTTGAAAGTCTCAAGTGATGGTGCTCCCACAACTTCCAAAGCAACTTCTGTTCCATTGGTTTCTCCTTATTTCCAGGTTGAATCTCTCCTCGATCAGTTTCCACCCATTATTCCTCGTCTGGCCTTCAGGTGCCTTGGAAAACAGCTTGACCTCTTCCTCCTCTCTGTGGCAGCCCCTCCAATATTGGAAGGCTGCTCTCTTGTCTCCCCTGGTCCTTCTCTTCCCTAGACTAGCCAGGCCCAGTTCCTGCAACCGTTCTTCATATGTTTTAGCCTCCTGGTTGCTCTTCTCTGCATTTTTTCCAGAGCCTCAACCTCTTTTTTATAATGTGGTGACCAATGCGGTCGTAAGTCGAAGTCTATTCTGTACTGAGAAGCGGGGTGGGGGGGTGGGGGGTGGGAATATTCAAAAGAAAGGGTGCCTTCAGGTTCTGAGCAATGATTAACCAGGGATTTATTTTCCATGAAACGAGGATACAAGGAAACATCATGCAATGCTCACATTCATTGTTGAAAAGGACCCAGGAAAAAGGCTGTTTCGTAACCCCTCTCTGAGCTTTTCAATTTATTTTTTTCCCCAAAAAAATGCAGCTACCTATCTGGTTTATAATCTCCTTTTTTTTCCCCCCAGGGTGAAAAAAGCTGCTGCATTCTTCCCATCCTGACTCAAGTTCCCCAACAAAAGGAGAAGAGAGAGAGAGAAAAAAAAGAAAGAAAGAAAAAGGAATGACGTCACTCATCTAAGACAACAGGAAACGGTTTCAAAAAATGAAAGGATTTTCCCAAGGCAGCCAGGGCTGAATTGGATCTTACCAACTTTCTAAATTCAATGGGGATGTTTCTATCTGGGTATCAGAGTTCAGTACGATCAGAGAGATAATTTTTTTTTTAAAAAAGGAGGAAAGGTTGCCATGGAGATTCTTTTTTAAAAAAAAAAAAATAATTCCATTGTGCTACAACGATTGTAAGCGTGAAAAATGGCCACAAGTCACATTTTTTTTCCAATTATAACTGTGAACAAACAAACAGTTGCAGGTCAAGAACTACCTATACCTCCCTCAATTTTTAAGAACTTTTTTTCCAGTATACAAGCAGTTCTACTTGCTGTTGAATGTATTGAGGAATCTGGCAAGGAAATATTTCTGAAATCGTGACCCAAAGGGCCAAAGTTGTGATAAGAGTTTATACCAATACTGTTTTATCTATAATCGATGACTTCTCAGGATGCTATTATCTCCAATTGCCCAATGCTGTTGGGCAATAGCAGCCATTTACAATTCTCCATCCTAGGATATCTGAATTTTGCCCCACCTCCCACAAGGGGAAACAGAGGCACCTGGATGAACATGCAAAATATGATAAATCATTATATTCTCCTTTTAACAACCCTAGAATCCCTTGGGGGGTGGAATCTGGGCAACTGAATGGAGCTAGTAGAATGTTTAATGGCCGGACGCCCTTCCTGTCACCAATGCAGAGTTTTGTTCAGCAGATAATACCCTCAGTGTGCCCAGAGAGAGAAAAATATCTGCTTCTACCAAGGATCGAACTCACAGCCTCCTGATTGTGAGGCAAGAACTCTACCTCTAGGCCACCAGAACACTCCTTGCAAGGTATGATAAATATCTTATGCAAAATATTTAAGGGCTCTAAATAGACACCTTTGCAACTGAAAAAAATTCCAGTTTGATTTTTAAGGAAGCCCTTGCAATTAGTTGCTTGTTTCTAATCTGCCGTATTGCAGGATTGCTTTCCTAGATCCGCATGTACACGACTGGATTCCCAAGGATAATCCAAATTAAATTTCCTCCAGACATTCCGGATGTCGGGAAACCTGACTCGGTGGCAAGGGATTATGGGGGTTGTAGGCCAGAACAGCAGGGAGTCAGCGAGCTGTCAATCCCTGTTTTATGTTGTCCTAGAAAGCAGATGCTATTTGTGGATGAAGGATCCATTAGGTCAGTGTTTCTCAAACCTCAGCCACTTTTTAAGATGGATGGACTTCCACCCCAGAATTCACAGTCACGTTGGGCTTCCAGCATCATCCGATTGGGTGGCTGGGGAATTCTGGGAGTTGAAGTTCACCCAGAGTCTTAAATTTGCTGAGGGTTAAGGGATACCGAGCCCAATATTCCTCCAATATCACGCTCCGGATTTAAAATCACAGAAGAACTCAAATTCATTCCCTTCCCCAGTCTACAATCATGTTATAATATATATATATATACATGACACCCCCTTTCCCTGGGACCCACAGATGGAATTGCCACAGGGGGAAGAGACCGCCAGGGATTTCATTTCCCAAACACAATTCCCCTGTCCCAAAGGCATTTTAAACACTTCATTAGAGATCTCTCCGTCCTACGGGGAGAACAGAGATTTGTGCCCGACAGCCACGGGAGTAAACGGAGCCATGTTATGAATGAGGCTGATCTCATTCATAACTTACTGTTCTCCAAAAAAAAAGAAAAAAAAAAGAAAAAAAGAGGCTGACCTCAAATTCATTGATGAACTGGCTGGTCTTAAAATGGCCGATCTGAAGAAGCGAAGGAAGGACAAGGAAGAGTTAACGCTCGGATGGGAGCATCAGGGAATATTTATTCTCCAAGATATCCTTGGAAAAGGCTCCAGCCAAGCCAAGCCGACTTTGCAGGCCTGTCTGAGGAGACCACGCGCGTGAGCCGAAGGAGACCTTCCCTCTTTCAAGGAATGGTGGGTCGGCCACGTGTCTGTTGCACCACACAGCTTCTCGGAATTCCATAAATAGGGAATCACGCCACGGCTTCAATGGCGGAAGTCCAACATGAGTCGGAGGGGAGGGAATTTTCAGAACTTCCATCAGGACTAGCTGCACCACACGAGATGCTAAAGGTTGACTTCACACTGACTTTTAGAGTTACTAGCCGTAGGGTTGACCTAGAGTGAAGTCCCAGACATTTGGCAGGTCCACATGGACCTAGAAAAGCCTATTTTGAGGAGCTTGCCTGATTCAGATCTAGGGTGGCTGAGAGAGACCTTCACTGTAGGACAACCCGACAACTTGGCCTGGCCCAACTGACACAGCCTTTGTGTTTCATCCTTTCAGGGTCAAAAAAACTGCTGAGCTCGCTGGCTTTGCAGAATTCGGTATCTTTTTCAACTTCTCGTGATGCTCAATTATGAGCTTCGCTTCTGGATCTACCTAGAGCTTCACCCAAGAGCTTTCTTTCCCCAGTGGCACACCCAGAAAAGGTCGAAGTGAAGACAAACACACGGAACCAGATCTCCCAGGGGTGAGGTGGGGACAGGGCAGGGTGCTGGGTGGGTAGATGTCCGAATGAAATCTGTTCTAGCCTTTTCTCCATTCTGCACAAGGACAACTCTGGTTGTTGTTTTTTTGGGGTGGGGTGGGGGTTTCCCCTTTCCTGGTTTCCCTTAAAGCCTTGGAGATGCAGAAGTGGAAAATTACACAAGCCGAAAACTTCGCAATCCAACACACACGTTTATTTGTCATTTACAGTCAACGGGAAAGCAGGAAGAAGAAACACGCATGCACTAGAAACGGCAGGAATGCTAAGAGGCGCAGCCATCCAGGCATAACCTTTCTCCAAAACAGCTGAAGAACAACAAAAAAAAACCTCAAGAAATTCAGATATTTTTTCCTGTTTTGCGAGCCAGGGCAATGTTTTTAGGGTACCGATAGGGTAGCTTAATGCTGCTAAATAGGGTTGGCAAAGAGCCACAAAGAGCATTGGAATGAATATAAGGTATATATCAGTGCTTCTCCACCTTGGCAACTTTTAAGATGGGTGGACTTCAATTCCCAGAATTCCCCAGCCAGCGAAGAATTCTGGGAATTGAAGTCCGCCCACCTTAAAGTTGCCAAGGTGGAAAAACACTGATATACTGTACATTTTAAAAGAAAACGTTAGGAAATTTATTTGATCTGGCTTCTGCTTTGCAACCCTGTCCAAACTCTTGAGAAATCAATGACCTTCTTAAGCTCCTTCTTAGAATCTGGATGGAAAATATATATAAATGCATATGATCACTATCTTAATTTCCTTTCTTTTGTTCTCTTTCCTGGGTCAATTTAAAAAAAACAAACACAAAACCCTTGGGGCACCAATTTAATCTGCCATCATCTGTCAAGGATCTCTCTCTCTCTCTCTCTTTTTTTCAGTCTGAGGGCATTTTGAGGTCTTACTGCTCAATAAAAATATATTTGATTGGCTGGGTTAATGAAAGGAGATTAAAAAGGGGAGAGAACATTTATATTTTGCATTGATGATGTTCCTAGTTTGGGTAAATGAAACATCTGCAGAAAAACAACCCAGCTCAGGGAGCACCAAGGACCCCTCATCATACCACAATGACACCATCCTCTAAAAAGAACTTTAAAAACCCTCCCTTTTTAAGACCCTGTAAGAATTGCATTTTTGGGGGGGGGGGGAATAATTGCATTTTTCAGCTCCCACAGAATTGCATTTGGTAAAAATTTAGGAAGCACACCTACTCCACCAGCAGGCTCTAAAATGAAAGCAAGGATGCTTAAAGCTACATATATATATACATATATACAATATATATATATATATATATCTTTTAGCACCCACTGGGAGATTTTCTAGAAAAACCAGTTTCCTTCCTTTACTTATGTACACTTTCTTTTTCTTTCTTTCTTTGGCCTCCCTTCCTCACTCCCCAGTTCCATGATTAGGAAAAGGGATTTAAAAAAAAAAAAAAAAAAAGGGGGGGGGGGAGGGCATTAAAAGAGTGAAGTGGCACCCAGAAGGGTTAGGGTTGCTTTGAACTTCTCCGCCCTCCCGCCTCACTTCCTTAAACATTAAAAGACGTGAAGCCAGGGGGTTATTACATGTCTGTGTTTCACATCCTCTCCCTAATCCTTTTTTTTTTAACATGGGGGGAAAAATGGAGTCAAATATCCGCTACTCCCATCGCCCCAAAACATACCAATCTTTGGGGTGGGGGGAAAGAGAGAGAGCACAAGAAAAAAAGAGAGAGAATTAATTCTTCTTTTAAGAGAGTCCCAGATGTTGGGGCTCGCTTAAGTGGGGACAGTTTGATTGCTTCCCAACTTTCAATGGGAGAATGATACAACCCCCCCCCATGCTCTCTTTATCCAAAAGGGGGGGGCACCTTTATAAGGTCCCCCCACCCCCAGTCAGAAATTTTCTTGGGTTTGTGGAGTGAGAGGAAGGGAGCGAGCCTGCATCCTTGCTTGGTTGGAGTGGGTGGGTGGGTGGCTCATAGGTTGGATGGGATGCTAGCACCATGGGGAGGGGGCTGCCTCCTCCTTTTGCAAGGGAAAGACGCCCCCCCCTCTCTGGGCCCCAGATTAGCCTGCATCTCAGCCCCCCACCCGCCCTTCTGACTTCCATGGAAACATCACCTGGGAGATACACCTCTGGGCCTTCCATTGATCTGGTGGAAAGAGGGGGGGGCCTGTCAAAGGCCGGAGGGGGGGGGGCAGTTGCGCTCTTCAGGGCCAAGATTGCCCCCTCCCCACGCAGACAGCCCCCCCCCCAGATTCTGGACTTTATTCACCCCCCCCCGCCCCCAAAGCGAAGAGGACTTACAAAGTAAAGAGAGGTTTGGAGGTGGGGGAGAAAAGGGGGGCGGGGAGGGGGTTCCTATCGACTCCCCAGGAAAGCAGCGGGCAGCCCGCACCCCAAAGCCGGGCCCAGCCGGGGAGAATCGCTGGCTCTTTTTTTTTTTTTTTAAACTTCCGCTCATCACCTTTTTCGTTCAAGGGCCGGAGAAATCCAGGGATTTGGAAAAGGGGGGTGGGGGCTGGTTTGCCTTTTAGAAGGGGAGGGGGCGAAAGAGAGAGAGAGAGAGAGGCTCTGCCTCTGCCTCTCCGGCAGGACCCCCTCCTCCTTCCCCAGCGAGCCCCCCCTCCTCCTCCTCCTCCTCCCTTTTCACCGCCCCCCCCCCCAAATCCAGCCCCCAAAAAAAAAAAAAAGAGGCAACAAAAGCCACACAATTCAACGTCATTGCCAAAAAAGCAGCCACGATCTGCCCAGCCAGCCAGCCAGCCGCCCCCCCGCTTCGCTTTTCTCTTCTCCCATTCAGATCCCGCCCCCCCAACATTTATGAATCGGGGAAGGGGGGATTTGGGGGTCTCCACCCCCCACCTCTTACCTGCTCCTCCTCGGGAGTCAGCTGCGCAGCCATGCTCCGGCCAGCCCGCAGAAGAGGCGCAAGTTTGCCAAAGTCGCCAGCCCTCCCCCCCCACGTCTTTTTGCCTTCTCTCCGGCCCCCTCCTCTCTTATTTGATCATGGGGAAGGGGTTGGGGGGAGGTAAAGCCAGCGGGGTGGGATGGATGGAAGGGAGCGGGGAGGGTGGGGTTGGGGGGGGGGTTGGTGGTCAGCGGCAAAGGGCTGCCTTCCGCGCTGAGTCAAAGCCGGGCATCCTCGCTTGGGGGCGACGGGGGGGGGGGGGCGACAAGAGCGCTTGAACCCGAGCCAGGGAAAGGGGGGGGGAAAGAAAAGGGGGGGGGGGGATCTCAAGGGGAGGGGTCCCCCCTTCCGGGCTCCCCTCCAAAAGGGGGAGGGCCGCCGAGAGCCGCGGATCCGAATTAAGACGGTCGGAGCGGCGCGATCCAAAGCGAAGCCGACAAAACAGCCGCCGCGCAGGAAGAGGCTGCCCGAAAAAAGCGCGGGGGGCCAAGCCCGGATCTCCCGAGAATCGCGGGTGGGCGTGGGAGTGGGTGAGAAGGGGGGAACCCCTCTTTTTTTCCCTCCTTCTCCTTCTCTTTCTCTTTCTCCTTCTCCTTCTTCTCCTTCTCCTCTCTCTCTCTCTCTCTCTCTGCCTTCTTTTGCAACACTTCTGGCTTTCAAAACACTTCAGAACAAAACAAACAAGAAAAGCCCGAATTGCTGCAGGAAAAAAAGCTTTTTTCCTTCGCTTCTCAACCCTCCGAGCTATGGGAGAGAAAGGGGGGAGGGGGTGTGTGTAAAAAAAAGAAAAGAAAAACCGGGGTTGGGGGGAGGAGAAGAGGAGGTGGAGGGAGGGGGAAAAAAGAGGAAGGGGGGGGAGCCCTCCCGCTTGCAAAAGAAAAGAAAAGAAAAGAAAAAAAAAGAGAGAGAGAATTGGGGAGGGGGACAGAAGGAAGTTTCTCCGCTGTCTCAAAGCGCAAACCTCCACCGATTCGGATGGGCTCCTTTCCCGGAGTGGGAGGAAATGAGGAGGGGGGGGGGGGAGGGGGGGGGGCAGTCTTTCCTTCGAACTGTTGCTTTCTGGAGGAGGAGGAGGAGCTGTGTGTGTGTGTGTGTGTGTGTGTGTGTGTGTGGGGGGGGGGGGGGGGGGGGGGGGGGGGGGGGTTTGCAAAGGATTAGGAAATGGATGGATCCGCTCCCGCTGGCTTGGCCGCCTCTTCCTCCTCTTCCCCGCCCAGGCGGACGGATCGGCTTGCCCGGCCTTCCTCGCAGCGCTGATTCCTCAAAAGCAGAGGGAGGGGATTGGAGGGAGGGAGGGCAGCCCTTCCAGGCGCCGAGGCTGCTCAACACCGCGCCCCCC